TTCCCAGAGGCGTTCAGGAAAAAATGAACACCAGTTTGGTACTCCATGCACGTGACCCCACATCATGCAAAAAACCGTTTTCAAAAAGCGCTCCACGTCCTGAACGACCTCCCTAGTAAGTGCTGCTACTTTTTCATCCCTTCTGCTTGAAGCGCTCCCTATTCACTTTATTCGTGCATTGAAGTTCCCTGTGGAATAGTTTTTTATTATCGGACGAGACCTGCTTCGGTTGCTTTGATGTAATTGCCGTATTGCATGTTCCGAACATCCCTAGTTACTAACCATAAGTGCAAGTCTTGAGAATGGATGAAACTGGAGTGAATCGAAGACGCTGCAGCGAAATAAATCCGACTGGAACTGAATTAGTCAGAAAACCAAGTGTATATTAGCACGGACAAGTGATTTTTGCTCCAAAAACAAAAAAAATTCTAAGCGTTCCGATTATGTCACCTTAATTGTAATGCGTTTTATGGAAGTGTGCAAAGTTAAGGATTCAGATTTCGTTTACATCATGAAGTACGCGACTTTACTGGGCGAGTACTACATGCAATTGGAAGACGATGTTGAAGCTGCTGATAGTTATGAGTGAGCATTGAATTTCCTTCTTGCTTGTCTTTCTTTCTTTTTTCCTTCTCGTGGGTTTGTTTTTTATCGAGGGGGGTATCTCACCACTCCCACCACAATTCCTCAACCACTACAGACGGTCGTTGAAGAAGGAGTTGCTTTTGCACTAGAGAGAACTTTTATTCGAGTGCTGGCTTTCCCCGTTCACACGAGTTACACATTACCCAACCCCTAGCTGCAAACACCATTTAGATGCTATTTACCCTTTACTGCCCCCCACCCCTCTTCCACATTTTTGCCGAAGTTCAGATTTTGAGGACAGAATTTGATGTGTCTCTGTTCTCTGGGGTAGTTCAACCTGTTGAGCATGAATATCTCATCCGATTAGCCCGTAACTCTCTGGCGCCGGCGATTTCTGATAGCTCATTGGGACTGTCCACCCCGTTCATCTGACAAGGGAATGGTTTGAACTTCCCATGGAACTTTGAATGGAGACCTAGGTACATCGATAGAGCCTCGAATGCTGATTACGAATATGCAGATTAAAAAGCTACGGGACCTTCCAGACGAGATCTGGGTGGTCAAAGTTTGAGTTCTGGCTCGTAAGCGCTGCTGATCGATGCGTCGGCAGTGCCACGTGGCCTCGTGGTAATGGTCTCGCTTTCAAGTCAAACGCATGCGGGTTTGCATCCGGTTGGCGCAAAAATTTTTGCTTCGCTCCGTATAAGAGCTACAACTCTAGTTTTCGAAATTCTTTCGAATTTACGGCTCCAGCAGCGCAAGTAGATCGCAAGAGCACATTCAAAGCTAAGACATAAGCTCGATCTAGTATGGATTTGTCATATACTGCCCTCTCTGAACGTATTACCCATTCTCGAAAGCACAATTTTACCGAGAAGTTTTAGGCGAGCGAAACTTTGTTCATGAGAGAGTTTCGACCCGCCTCTGAACACGATCACTTCCTTTCGAGGAAAGGAAAAAAAAACGCTCGTCTGGTCCAAAATTGGCGCATCTGGGCAAAAATTTGAATTGCCGGATGGGTAATATGTTTAGAGAGGGCAGATATGACCAAATCCATAGTAGATCGAGTATGTCTGCGTAGCTTTTGCACCACAGAAATTGCATCATTCGTGATTTTACCTTACGAGATGGGTTGCAGTTGACTGTATGTGCTCCCTAATGAATAAAATGTAATAAAGGAAAGCAGAATTATTTATGGGCACGAGCGTGGTCAGCGAAAAGGACATGAATGCCGATTAATGCCCGCCGTCCCAACAAAGAACAACTGAGCGGCTCTCCGTCAGAGGGCAGCTAGCAAGTGGGCGGTCCAACTGAGCGGGCGTTAGAACTAGAACTTTGAGCGGCTGTAGCTCGCTCCTCGCTCACTGTGGAGTCGCGAGAGTGGGACAGTATCTAGCTTGGGGCTGAACTACCTGCACAAGGAAGGACGACCATGTACTACTTGAGCGCGGGGGCTGTCATTAACTGCTCGCTGCACACAAGTTCTCGAATTTCAGCAGAGTGATATTCAACTACATCGAGTTCAATACCCATAAACAGTGGTTTGCAATGGAGTTCTCCTCACTGGGTTTTATAGCAAAACTGTTCAGGTACTTTTCGTAGAGATTTTTTTGCACTCTTTTATTATCGCTCAACCTCTACGCACTGTACAGCCACTGACGAAATAAATCACCGCGACGGAACACTGCACAATATCGACGTACTTGCATTGCTGGAAATCGCACCTACTCAAGTCAAAGACGCAGTTCTTTCCAAATTTCATTACAAAACTGACATGCAACCAAAAAACTCCTGTTGCCGCTCAAGCTTGAACTCAGACCCCGCTAAGGTGCATGGTGGCAGCTGAATGACTAGGGCATTTCGCGAATAGGTTCGCGCAGATGCTTTTCGTTTATGGCCGTGTTCATCAGCCTTCTGCGACACATGGATATTCATAATGAATGAAGGTGATGTTCCTCTCTATCACATTGTTCGTTCCATCGCCCGGAATGTTTACAGGGATTTACAAGATTGCAACAATCCAAGGGACCCTCTGTTCCCTTGTGCTGAAACATCAGGGAACAACCCCCTGTTCCCTTGTGCTGAAACACACCTTCAGGCAGCGTTCATACTTCGCGACAGCAGCGGCGATCGCGCGATCGTCGGTACATGGCAGAGCGCGCCCCAACGCTATTACTTGCGCTCCGAAGGCTTTTAGGGAAGAAGCGACTCAATTTCATGCTTTTTTCCTTTAACTGCAATTTTCTTAGATACTGAAGCTTGGTTTGACACAAAGAAAGGTGAACCCAACTTAATGGCTTTTGTTTTCTATTTTCTTTCTTGATTCAGGATAGAAATGAGCAAAAAGCGTGAGAGCTTCATTTAGGGTAGGTTTTTATTGTTTCTTTTTTCATTCGTCGAGCTTATACATGAGGTTATAACGTTTTCACCTGTTGATGTTGCGTAAAATGATTAGTGTTTTGGTTCCTAGGTGAGTTTCTGTTTCTTTCTTCGTTGTTTGAACTCGACTTGTGAACTATAAATGTTTTGGAAGTTGGAACAGTTCAGACGATAGGAATTTTAAGGCGCTTGCATAAATTGAAACAATAAAAACAAAAGAAACAAAAAGAAGCTCACCCAGGAAATGGAGTTGGCCTCTTCCCGACCAAAGTCGTAAGTTATCAGTTAGTAGCCATTATTAAGAGAAAAGAAGGTCTCACAAGTTGGATTTCCTTATTTATCAAGCGAGCAGTCCATAATAGCGTTGGGGCGCGCTCTGCCACGTACCCGATCGCCGAGGTCGCCGAGGTCAGCGCGATCGCCGCGATCGCCGCTGCTGTCGCGAAGTATGAACGCTGCCTCAGATAATTCCATTTTCAAGGTCTGCTATTCAGGTGTAGCGACCTGAGGTACATGACTCACGCGATTGCTCTCTATCATCAATACAAGCCAGTAGACTGGATACTCATAGATGTCATACGAAGTCGTTATTGCAGGTCGGATAGAAGTGACTGTGAGAATGTGAGAAATAAGCGCTCGTTCATAAGTGCTCCTCAGCGTCATCTACACAACTTTTTCTTCAGGTGCTTCGATGTTTCGTAATCAACTCTGGAACATCACAATTTCAGCATGTCGGCAAGGTTTCTTCACTATCGGGAAAAATACAACAAATTCGTGACCATACTTTTGGTACAGGGAGATCAGAGGCTAGTCTATGATTTTAGAAGATATTTAGGGGTTCCTAGTGCTCTCTTCAGATTGTCTGTCTGTCTGTCTGTCTGTCTGTCTGTCTGTCTGTCTGTCTGTCTGTCTGTCTGTCTGTCTGTCTGTCTGTCTGTCTGTCCGGAAATTCGGAATCACCTGAAGAGCCAGTTGGAGGGGCGGGTCAAGGGCGGTTTGGGTAGGGCATGGCCAAGATGTACGGAACACACATGAATAAGCTAAGTCCCGCCCCCCTGTGGGCGGGGTATGCGTACAGATGTGAGCTACATATTTCAAATTCGCAGTTCGGTTCCAAAAGAGCCCCGAGAGCGGAAAAAGTGGCAAACGATAGGCAATCAGTTGGCGGACGAAATGAGTGAGACAAACCCATTCTGGGCGGGGCGTTCTATAGGTGGGCGGTGCTTGCTACGAAAATTTCAAAAATTCGCAGTTCGGTTCCAAAAGAGCTCGGAGAATGGGAGAAAGGAGGTGTGTAGTGAGAACTGGCCCTCTACTGCACTGTTACTTTCGCTTGCGGTCAAACGTGCACGGGAACTGCATTAAAGGGTAGCGATGCCCGGATGCCGTCTCCATACTCCGTCCGCGCCGCCGCACTGCTAGCCATGCGCCTAGCCACAGCCAAACACCGTACTTATCTTTTCTCTCTCACGTCTGTCTGCTCTCTACCGTTTGGCACCGTTCGGTGGAACCTTGACACAAGTGCTGCACTCAGTGGATGGCGCGGCCGGAGTGTGGAGACCACTACCCTACAGGCTGCTGTCGCGAAATTTCGAGCAAAGAGGGTGACATTAACTGGCTCATTAAAAGAAGGAAGGCGTCTATCCACACTGATGCGACTTCTTTCACGTGATGGCTAACTTGTAAACGTAACTGCTAGCTTTTGCTCCACCCTAAGAAAAACATGGGCGCTAACTCCCAAGCGAGGTGAGGAAAACACATTTTCGTCAATCAGTGGACAATGATACGAAAGATATGACAGTCTGCAGAATGGTATCAATTTGATTTTTTTGTTTTATTATCATTACAAAGATGGCATATCACCAGTTATATTTCAAGCGGCCGCACGGTATAGAGCGGTCGTATCATTTCAAATAGGACATTTCGTGATGCCCCAAAGTAGTCTACGATTCGCTAAAAAACCCGCGGTCAGATATTTAATGGAATGTTCGTCGGACATTGATACTGCTCTAGACCCACCGCCGGATATGAAGTACTCGCCTAACAACACTAAATGGGTTACAGAATAACCTTGGAGAATTGTCTCATTGAAACATCTAAATTTTGAAGCGATGTGCTGCCGTCAAAAAATGAGCGAATTGAGCAGGGCCGAATATAAGCAGTATTACAATGTCCGCACGCACAAGAGCCTTCGAGTATCTTGGATCAGAAATGTGTCCGATGGCACTCTGACCTCAGAGGTGAACTCGAGTGCAGCATGGGCGAAATGGCGCTCGATGACTGGAGTTCTGTGTGACAAGACCATACCGGAGCACCTCAAATCGAAGATTTATAGAACTGTGGTCAGACCAGTAGCGTTGTACGGGGCTGAGTGCTGGCCTGCAACCAAGGAAGTCGAAGCCCGCCTTAGTGTGATGGAGATGAAAATGCTACGTTGGACGGCCGGTGTCACCCGTATGGATCGGATTTGCAACGATGACATACGCAAGAAGTTTGGCGTAGCTTCCATAGTTGATAAATGCGAGAATCTCGTCTCCGATGGTATGGCCACGTACTTCGCGCGAAGGCGGACACCGTCTGCAAAACTGGTCTCCAGCTCGAGGTGCTCGGCAAACGACCGAGAGGACGCCCCAGGCAACGTTGGCTTGACACGCTGCAGATTTGGTGCTCATTCTGATCAGGCATTCGACTGGATTAACTGCAGTAAAATCAGGAGAGCGGACCCGTCTGGAGTAATGAAGAAATAGGAGAATCAGAAAGACATGTCCGCACTCTCCAAATCAGTCGAGCTTCCCTTTCCAAGGTTCCCATTTACGCATGAGAAGCGGCTGGCAAACTTTCTGTAGCTTAAAGGCAGTTGGCACGATAAATCGCTATACAGGTGTAGGATTTGTACAACTGGCTTAGCAGAATTCCCTGACCTCCGGACAATCGCTGCGAGCCTTTTCCAGGGGTAAACCCCTATAGACCCTTATTGGCAAAAAAGCTTTACGTCGGCAAACGCCTTCCCTTGCCCGCCCGCCCCACCAAACGGACGACCGTTTCCCTGAAAACCGGGCTCGTATTCCAATTCATTTGCTGAGCAAATTATGAAGCAAAGGGATTGGTATGAAGCGGCGGTGATGCTGCATGCATATATGGGTACACATATGAGCCGTATCTTCGGTAGCGGTGATTGGCAAGGTGGTACGGGAAACTCGTCCGTAAAATCGATTTAACAAGTCAACTGAGAATGCGGAGGCTTTTTCTTTCGCCGATTATTGACCGTCGCTCTCGTTTCCCTTTCGCCTGTTTCCCCACTAATATAGCGCCCCACTATTCAAAGTGCCGAAGTAAGGAAACCAATCGTGCCAAGCTGCGCTTTAAGCAATCGCGTAAATCAATACTGACTCAAGCTCGCAAACATAAATGGAAGCTAACCGGTTTATGATCGCTTCCACAAAACCACAATTGCTCGTTCATACTGAAGCCGTGTCTTCATCACTTTGTGCTAACACTAAGGCACTTGAAAAGTAATAGAAAAGAATCATTTCCGCAACTTAAGAAAAGGATGAAGTATAAAATGGTCCAACAGCGTGGATTTTATGAAATTGCCTCCTCCTACCAAAAGGCGACGCTTTGTTTTCCAGGGATTTTTAAGGTGACACTAAAGCAGCAGTTGAGCTTAGGTACAAATACCCAGCTGTTTCAAACTACATCAATAGAACCAGGCAACTAGTGAACCAGCACTCGAATCCAACTCGGCTACACCAAGATCGTAGGCATATGGTTTACGAACGCTACCGAAGGAAGCTACATGTCGATCAAATTCACGACGTCTCTCAAAGTAACAGGTTTGTGAGATAGATCCTTCTCGTGTGAAGATTGAGTATGAAGAAGCTGGAATGAATATCGTCGCTAAGCCGCCGATAAGTTTGTGGGAGGAGAGCAAAAAGGTTTTGAATGATTCTTGCGTCGCTGCACCTGTGCGTTCGGCATCCACATGCGGCAAATTTCCAATGGTTGTCCAATCAAGGTCGACAGGACCAACCAGCAGGGGTCCCAACAGTAAATGTTACAACTCAGCTTTCCATCCATTTTCCTACGCAAGAAATGGTAAAAAATATGTTGTACTAAACGGGCCTGAGCAGGGACATTGAAAAAAAGCTACTGGAGTTGCTGCATGCAGCTTCTGCCTAGCGAACGTCCGTGGTTTTTATGGCATTTCCCGTATCCCGCCGAGCCCACCCTTCCAATGCACTACAGTAGGACGCCTAAAATTCGTTTCGCTCATGTACTGCTCTGTAAGCTGGCAATGAAAGATGGATTAAGGAAATCCTTTGAAATTTAAAAGGAATCGCTTGAATCGAGTGGCCATTCCTTCTAAGGCTCGTCATCAAATACGCTTCCGAATATACCAAATTGGTCCTTCAAACGTAGTCAGTTTAATTATCGGGAATTACTGAGTCAAGTTTCACCCCGCAATTCTGAATAAAAGACAGGAAGTGTAAAGGAAGATGGTGGGGTTTCAATCTCTAAATCGAGCTACCCAAAAGAAATAGTCGTAATCAAAGACCGAATAACCTGGTCGTCACCTTATCACATTTCTAAACGCCTCCTTTGGCTACCAACAGTACTCCTTGCAGCCACTGCCATCTCATGTCATTCAGACCAGCGTCGAAATATTGCTCCACGCTGTGAGTTTCCGACCCTTCCTTCTTGATCTATTTTCTCTCCTCTTTTACCATTGCACTTATTGCAAACTAAATGTAGTCACAAATCTTGTCACTCCACATGAATTTCCGTCCCAGTGAATCAATATCCAACGTTGAAGTTATAGTGGGTATATCATTGCGACGGTTTTGGGCTTTCGTGGCTGCGTTTGGCGGCGGGTGCCAAACTCGTTTCTCCACGAAGTTGTTTCAAGGAGCAAATGACAAATCACTGGTTATCATACCTTTCGTATTTACTTGTTTTCTAGCACTGCTTGTTTGTCGGCAATGCCCGTTGTTCAACAAGAAAGGCAGAGAAAACGGCTTCAAAGAGGGTGACAACAGACCATAGACTGGCTGACCACGCCCCCATTTATCCGTCCCCGCATCGAAGTATTAGAGTGTAAACTATCCTGACAACTCGCTGCGATGAGCTCTCGCGATTTTCCGAACAAATACAACACACACGCAGAAACAAAAGATAAACGAAATTATAATAACCGACAGTCGGATCGCGCGCTTACGCCGGGCCCACTATTCTTTGTTAACAGGACTGCCCCAGAGTATAACAGACTGGTACGCTTGGGAGTAACCACGAACAAACTAAGCGTTTTCAAGGCTGCTTTAGACAAACATCTCACGTCATAATACCTTTCAAGCACAGTTCGGTTTACTTGTATTCATTGTTTTCCTCTCTTGAACTTCATGGCAGTTTTATACTAGTTTTTTTTTTTCAACGACTTTCGAATTTTGGTAGTGTTTTATTCCAATTACGCATCAAGTTCTAGTAGTTGTTTTTGCTGTTTATTTGGTTTTGTTTTTGCGTTATCCAGTTTTTTTCCCTTACTTACACCACACAGGATTACCTGTGTAATAAACAATTACAATTTGACCCGAGCTCCCACTCTTTCTCTTGGGCCCGCTTTCGCCGGCTACCTGGCTTTTCCCCTGAGGCGTCACTTTTCATGGAACGAAGGATTCGGTCTTTTTTGAGTATGCTTTATTATTTTGTTAAAATTTGAATCGAATACGTTATACATATCAATGAAAACCCATAGCAATCCTGGAGTATTAAATCGTCTTGTCTGCAGTAATAGTGCGGTTGTTCGTGCGATTTAATCGCTTTATTACCTTAACTGTTGATTCGATAGATATTCGGATTAAGAAATATTGGTATCAGTCTCGTTAGAGGAAATCAGTGGTAGAGTTGTCAATATATGGATGTTTTTGCTTCCAACTATGCATATCTCTCATTTATTCTATTTCAAATGTTGCACAACCTGTTACTTTATTTTATTATCTTTCAATCATTTTCTCAAACGTTGAAAGTAATTAAGGTGTGGATTAGTGCAATCCTCTAAAACATTAATAACTCGATGTCAATACTCGTCATTGTATATATTAATTTGTTTCGCGTCTCTTGTTACTATTACCACTCCATAAATTCCCTTTCCCTCCCTCACTCCCAAATGCCAAAATCCCCTTCCTTTACCCTATTACCACGCAGCTCCTAGCGGGCCCCCAAACTAAGCTTGTTTGTGCAAATTGATTCGAGTGCAAGATCTGGAAATATGCCCTTGTATCATAATTACAATAGTGGTTAAATAAATCAAAACAAATTGGCATATAATTAAACTTCTCAGACTGATATACACAGCATAAGATTGGGTCCGCAATCTGCTAGCACTTGAAAACCATCCTTGTTCTTACAGTTAAATGCCTTTCGTTTAATGCTTTTGTGGCCGCACAGCAGTGATCTGCTCTTGCTAAAGCGTATCTACGGCCCACCCTCCCCCCTCTCCCCCAGTCGTACCTCCCCATTAACTCCACCGCTCCGCCCTACCCCTTCCTCAAACCGTACTTTTTCCTTATCCTGTCCCACTGCACGTGCTCGCGTTCAGCTGCCAAGCGAGCAGCCCGTGCAATGGCTCGGATCGAAATATCACCCTAAATTGATAGCACATTATAGATTGCCCTGCAACTCTGCTAGCGGTTGATCCCTCCTTTCTTCTTTTTGTCGCTTTCACTAATGCTTCTGTTTCCGCCGTCATGGGGCGCTCCGTACCCTGTCCCACTGCACCCACGTCCAGCTGCCACGCGAGTAGCCTATCAACCTCGCTCCACCCCTTCCTTGCCCCCCCCTCGCCTTACCTCCTCCCCCATGTTCGCGAACACCTGCCCCCGCGCTCGCGTCCAGCTGCCACGCGAGCAGCCCATGCAATGGCTCGGAGTGCCCTAAGTGGTTGTCTTATATAGTGGAGTTATCGCAATCAAAAGCGGTTGACAGCGGTTTGATACATCTGCACCAATTGCTGTCAAAATTGGCTAGCGGTCGTTTTCTTCTTTCACGAACATGTTTAATCCCGTGAAGCATTTTGCGGACGGACAGACATACAAAATACATACATACATACCGACAAACCGACACACAAAGTTTCTGCTTTATAGAAAAGTCCCATTTTAAATTCACCACACTCAGAGCCAGATTCACGGTTCTTCGAATCGAATTCGGGGATTTTCTACAAATTTTCGAGAGCTAATTTACTACTTGACTATGCCACAATACACACTGCAAGCTCCGTCCTCGACAGTCGCGTCCCGATTTCAGCCGTTAAAGCAGCGCTGCCGCGATCAGCCAAAGTGAAAAAAAACCTCCAAATGAAAACGATACGCGGAGTAGCATAGCGACTCCGAACAGACCTACGGATACCCACCTCTCCGCGGCGACAATGTATGTGGATGACGAGGCGTAATCAAAAATCATATACGCCCTATATACCCTGTTAATGACAACACCGCCCGATATAAATTATACGTAAAACTTGCTCGGCGAGTTGAGAAAACGCTCGAAGTTTCTGGGAGTCGCAAGCCGGCGACGTTGCATTGGAGACTCACCATCTGCGGAAGCCGTAATGCGTTTAATTGTAGGTTATATTTCAATACCGCTCTTACCACCCACTTTTCCTGACTTCTCTTTTGATTAGTTGCTCCTCACCTGCCACCCACACTGTTAACTAAAACACCACGATTTGACCCCCCCTGAGACCTGCCAAAGTCATCAAGCGCTGTCTTGTAATACCCTTTCTACTTTCCCACTGTGACTCCGCTTCAACAACTGGTATAGAACTAGTTTGGCCAGCCGCAGCCGCACTGACCCCGTTGCAAGCCCGCACCCCGCCCCCCTCTCCCGCGCCCAACATCCGTCCGCAGCGGAACTACATATATAGATGTAGAGTCCGGGTTGGCGGCTACTCCACTCAATCGTGGCAACAGCTGCAGGGATATCAAAGCTTCAGAACAAATGAAACCATGACTTTCTTTAGTTCGAAGAAAACGTTGTCTCGAAAGAAAATATCCTATGAACAACGCGGCCTACGCCACGTTCAATCAAAGGTACGAAGCCGCGCCCACTCCATCGCTGGGATGTGCAGTATACATACATATAATAGTAGTTAAAAAGGAATGCGACATACGGGCGACTCCGCTCTTTTTCCAAAGGGTTTGTTGCAGATTTCAAAATTCCATAACTTCCTTCAGCGCTGCTAAAACCACATACACTCAAGAGTTTTTGAGTTTTCGTAAAAGCCTGGCCCCTATGCGAGACGCCTCAGAAGGTGAGAGTCTCAAGTAGTGAGTCAGAGTTCCGCTCGTCATTGAAAACGAACCTCCCCTGTTTGTCGTGATATTGAAATGAGAATAGCTCAGACTAGGTCTATTTGGCTTCTTGAGACATTTGAAATCGGAAAGTATCGAAGTTCCTCTTATCAGCTACTCTGTTTAGGTGTAATGTTTCTTAGCGGCGTTCCTCCTGCTGTTCTGGACAAGTTCGGACCAGAAACAGAAGTATACGCTGTCGAAAAGGGAAAAAGAACGTTCTTGGGAAGGTTTTCAACTGATGGTGACTTCCTCTATCGTTCGGAAGGAGTTTCCATGGAAGAACTACGATTGGAAGTAACCAAATCGCTTTCACGCTGGGTGATTCTTGATCACATACGGGTCGATACACATGAAAATTGTGTAGGGTAAATTCTTGTTGTTGAGACTAGGAATTTTTTTAATATTGTTACTTACTTGCCAGTTGTTACGTTCTTCTTGTATACAGTGTTTAAAGCTGAAACTTCTATGAAATATTTTACTGCAACTGTTTCTGAAATGTAATGCTCTGATACCGTTTTGAAGAGGAGTACGCCCTCACAGAGAACCAAATAGTATTGAATTCCGATAGATGTCTCTTGCAGGCATGTTCTATGATTGTAGATACATAAATACCGGGCCCAAGTATGGTCCGACTTCCTACACAGAGAAAGCAGAGCAGGAAAAGCTCTCAATTTGAACAATGGTACCCGGATGCAGCCTCCCGACTTCGCCCCGTCCCCGTACGGCCATCCTTATGCCAAACCACGCCCAGCGCGCTAGATGTACGCCCTTTCTCAATTCTTGTTGTACTCATACGGGATATGAGTGCATCGACAGAGTCTCGAATGCTGATGCGAATATGCAGATTAAATGCTAGTGGGTCTCACAAATGAGTTCTGGGTGGTCATAGTTTACTGTAAAAGGATTGGCATCATGTGAGCACCTACTAAAAGGGAAAAGTGTAATGCGAGTGCCACCGCGGCTTGTGGTAGGATTATCGCTCCACAGGTGAGAGCAAAAGGGTTCACTCCCCTTTGAAGCAAAAACTTTTGCTTTATTCCCGATGAGAACTTACACCCCTTTTTTTGACATTACATTATTGACATCTGAAATTAGCCGAGTTAACAACGCAATCGAGCGAGTGGGTCAAGTATCTGAAGTGGCAGAACAACTATTGAATGGGTCACTGTCTACCCCCCCCCCCCACTCACTGGTTCACCTTGCCTTGGATGAAAGTGGGGGCTGCTAAGAAAGGATGAGTCAGGGGATGCGCAGATCCGGCAGCCATATTGTATTTTCTAGTATGAACTCAGCATAAAGCCGGAAAACTCGTCCGTTTAATAAGAGGCGTTGTTTGGAATTTTCGGCCGTTTCGTTTTTTTTACTATCAACATATATTTTTTACTATCAGCGCTGAGCACCTGAGATTTCATTTTTGAATACCACTATCAGCGTTTGCACAATCATCTACTCGAAGACGATGACAAGCGACTCGAGGACGGTGCGCTCTCCCGCGCTCTGACACAAATGAAGACTGCGGATGGTCGCTCATGGCACCTCCCGGACGGGCAGAGCATTCGATGTGAGTTGCTGGTGGAGCGCCGTACGACCCCCCCCCTTTTTCGGGGGTTCGGTACGACCCCCCCCCCATACCTAAACTTATGAAGTTTCCCCCACCCCCGAGGAGGAAGGAACTTCATAAGTTTATAGTAAAGTACGCGAAAAATGAAAAAATAACAATACTGATAAAGCCACCCGGCTTTTTGCTCATTTAGCTATCTCTACTTCCCAAAAGAGGAATAGAAAAGCAAAGGCCATAGGTTTCACGACCACTTCCGTCCAGCAAGAAAACGAAGCATCTGGTACCTAAATCAATCATGCAATTAAAAGAAAAAAACAGGAAATCAAGCCAATTCCTCCTAAGAGCACTCTGAGCGGTCCAAGCAAAATTGCTGGGGCGCGCTCTGACGTGTATTCGAGTAAACTAGAAGATAAATATTCGATATTCGAGTAAACCGAGAAGAAGATAAATATTCGATATTCGAATAGACTCGGAGAAAGAATATAAGGCGCTATTACCTCTTTTTCTGCCCCAGTTATACCGAAATCAGGCTGCAGCTCTGAACGATCTTTTTTCTCCCGTGGCAGATATTGCTCAAATGTTGTCTACTGGGTTAGTTTAGACACTCCAATAATGACTAATATCCATATCGCTTCAGCCCAAAACTCTGGCGCCGCGCCACAGCGCCAATTGATTTGGGTATTTTAGGCGCCAGGTGCCCGTGTGGCGGGGGCGCAGGAGGTTTCGGTTGAGCGGTGTGATATTCGTGTTCATAGAGGTCAAACTACCCCTGGGAGCAAGTTTTCAGCGAATTTGGTTATTTCGAGTATTTTGGCGCCGGCGCCCGTGGCGCGGGCGCCAGGAGGTTTCGGTCAAGCGGATGCAATATTCGTGTTCAGCGGGTCGAACTACCGCCCGAGCCCACGTTTTCAAATTCGGCCCCGAGAAAACAACGGTCAGGAACTGGCCTGATTTCGGATGACTGGCAAAGTAAAGGTAAATCAGTGCAAATAAATACGAAAAGTAAATAGTAAATGAGAGCAAAATCAGTTGATATGAAGGCGATGGTAGCCGGGGGAGGGATTCTTGCAGGACGCCATGAGACGCGAGTTTATAAGGCAAAGTGAGTGTCTTTGAAGAACCAATAACTTCCTCACAAGCAGACCTTTTGGAGAGAGGAGACGTATCGTGTAGCGGACAGGTTAGTTTCTTACCTAAAGTATGAAACTTTTAGAAGGCATACACAAAAATCGCAGAGAAATCTGACATTAGATCGTATGGGGAGTTGATTTCACTGAACAGGTTTGAATCAATATATTTTTTTGTAAAGTCAACATTTCACAAGATCTGAGAACGGTTTCGAGTGTTTGAAGATTTTCTCTTTCTAAAAACCTCTTGAACTGTTTCTGAAGTTCTCGGGATTCATGAGATCTCGCGATGGGGATTTCTTGGGAACACTCCCAGCTGCGCGAAAAACCCGTTTCCTGTGTACCATTTCGAATAACCAGGAACGCATGTAGAACGTATCCTGTGGTGGAGCAGGAGCAGAATATGGTTCGTTTAGCGCCGATCACGCTGACTTTGGATGCGCCGCGCACTGAGGTCCGCGCAGAAGTGATGGGATGGTGTAACTTGTGCGTAATGTCTGTCCACGCGAGCAAAATTGTCTATAGGGTTCAGGACGTCCAGAGAGGAAGCCTGTGCCACTTTGTTTACAGTGTTTTCCGTTGCGCATATGATGGAACATGTCCCTGTCGACGCTGCCAGATTCGTGCTCCGCCAATTGCTGACTCCGATAAAGGAGACCAACTGCTGGAAAACGTCTATACGAACGATATGGTAGTCCTGTCGCTTGTCGAGAAAAAACAGGTTGGCTCAGCGCCAAGGCGCGACCGCGGACACGCCATATCATTGGCAGCGAACCAGAGTTTGAGTTGTACTGTTTAGTCACCAACGGACTTACGAGATAATGTCGACTTATTAATATTTGCAGTTATTTCGGATTAGTTTGATGAATGAAAGTTTTGTACAACTCGCGCTACTCGATACTGGCTGCCGCACTCCACTACGACCCCCCCCCTCAATGGCGGCAAATACGACCCCACCCCCCTTGTTTGGGATTGCCCCAAACACGATATGTGCCCCTGGACGAGAGTGCGGACTCGTGAAACTATCGCGCGGGATTAAGATCGCGGATATATCAATTAATGCACGAACGCTCCACAGATTGCAAGTGAAACTGTTGATCCGCGACACAGGCCTTTTAACGATACATTTGTGGAGAGCGGTTTGTTGCTTTAGTTATAGGCAGTATCGTTAGGGCTTTTGTTTCTATAGGTAATGTGCATAAAGGGACTACCAACCTACGCTGTTATATACGCTGTGGCATTCCAGGATTGGCGAAAGGATGAATAGGAACTTGAAATTCCGCAATGAAGTGCTTTCATACAGTTTTTTTTTGTCTGGCGAAACCTCTGTTACCTTGCATTCTCAATACTCAATCATGAAGTAATGATTCATTGGCAATACTTGATAAGGAAAACTTCTTTAGTTCTTCCTGACAACGGTTCGTAGAGCTTGTGATTCTCTGTCTGAATCGTTCCCACAACAAATAAGGTCAAAATGCTGGACTGTTAGTGGAATGAAAGACTAACGTCCAGCACATCACTGCACTGCACACGGTGGTCGCGCCGAATGTAGACAGCTACTGCTTCCTTGGTTAGGCACACCTTTTCTCCGTCAAAACCGCAGTGTGACACAGTCGAAATTTCTAACTACTGACAGCACCTCTCCTCTCTGTAGGTTTTTGCGAAATCGCCGTTGTCAGCAAGCTGGAATGTGAAACGGTATGAATGGAGTGGAAATCTCAGGCCACCTCCTGACGGAATGTGCTGCGTATTCTCTTGTTGTCTTACCATTAGTTGCTTGGCCTGATCGGGGTCGCATTTTTGCTCAAAACCGATTTCTTCAGTTTGGGATCATTACAATTTATTCATGGGACTGAATGTGCTGCAACAAAACCTAATCTCTGTCCTCTTATTGTTTGCCAGCAAACGGCATCCTAGCAGTCACACCCTTCCTCTACCCTTATAATGTCACCATGAAAAAGGCATAAAAATTCATTGTAATGTATGAATAAAATAATCAGTAAAGCATTGTAACTCTGGATTTCGAAAAAATGTTTTCTATCATACAAACGACTAGAGACGTGTATTTCAGTCCATAGGTAGTCCCCTACTTCCTAGAAGGGCAGACTGCAAATTCTTCTATTCTGCTAATAATCGGTGCATACAACAAAAACAGCAGGAAAGCAGCACGGTAGCGCCACACAAATGGATGTTTATTTCAGAGTAAGTAGCATAGAACGCTACCTGTTAATTAACAAAGCCTGTTTAGGATACTGACGAATTCAAATGGAAGCAGAGGCTGCCACTTCCCTTCATCACCTGAGCAAAACTAGGCGAAGTATTCCGAACGCGAACAAAGTAATTTCCAAAGAGAAACGATAGTAAATGAGCACCAAGAAGACAAGCTCGTCCGGCAGAAGATAGGCATGAACTGCAAAGCAGATTGATCACACACAGCCATTGGGATAGCTTGAACGTACTAAAGATTGCTGTTGACTGGTTCACGCAACCATACAGAATGGCTAAATTCTGTTACAGTCATAGTGCGTTCAGCTCGTCCTTCGGAAATCTGCCAGGAATAAGTAAGTAAGGGGTTGAAAAAGTCCTATCGCATCCGTTGATCGTCCCATTCACATGCAAGCAGCTCAGTAGAGCGTCAAGTCGATTCCTTGATTTGCTAAAGGTCATAAAAAACTTGCTCT